TCCCCAGCTTGGTCTCTCATACCCTGTAAAAGTATTGAAATTGCAAAGGAGACATTTTTAATTATAAGTACTATGGTAATGAATTCAAGTACACTCATTTATCATAAAGGGCTTTCCCATCTGTCTCTAAAGTATACTTAAAAATGATGTGTATTTGATAACATTAGCACCAAGCATCTTCCACATGTTAATGTTCACTGTTTTAAATGTTCCACCCCGCCCCCCAAGACAGCATAGTGGTTGTTCCAGAAAGAACACATTTATCTCTTGTTTGGGAATGCCTGTGTGGTCTCTTCCTAATTTATTTGCACTCCAATCCTTGGGGATCCCATCACAATCCCCCTAGGCAAAGGGAGATTAGGGAACAAGGCTGGCTGCTTTTCCCCACCCTACCAGAGAAGGGAAAACAACTTCCCCAAGTCCCACAAGTTCTTCTGGCCACTGTACAAATTGTTCTTGAGCATGGAGAGTTTCCAAAAGCCCTAATTAGCAACTCACAGCAAACATTTCTTTGCATTAGCTAATGATCCGGCTACACTTGTAAGCAAACAGAACCAACATATCTAATCAATGCTGAAAAACCAACCAAATGCCTATTAAACATCTGGATGTAATTTTCTAGTTAGAACAAAATGAAAACATATGCAGGTTCCTTTGATCTGCGTCTTAACAAAGAAATTGTTGATAAAAAAGCATACTGGTCAGTCAATGTGTCATTTCCATAAAGTCTGCTCATTTCTCTTCAAATGCTCCCAGCTTAATTTAGTTGGTTTCCTGCAATCTCTAATTTTACCATATTGTGTGAAACCACAGAGGTTCTTTGGATGTGATTTTATTTGAGGTTTTACTGCTGCATGGATCTGCTACTGATTTTTTTTTTTTTTCCCTTCTCTGCCTTCTTTCCTCCACCTCCACACCCATTCCGTCCTTTTCTTTGGTAATGGGGTGGAGGAGGAAAAGGTTATAAAGCAATGCTGGGAACATTTATTCTGGACCCTACATTCTTAGGTTTTAGAAAACTTTCAGGGAAAAAAAAAAAAAGCCAAATGAGGAAATGTATGAGCAATAACTTGTAATTAAAACGAAGAGAAAATGAAGAGGGTGAGGTGGTGTGTGCCTGTAATCCCACCTTCTCAGAGGGTCAGGCAGGAAGACTGCAAGTTCAAAGCCAGCCAAAGGCAATTTAGTGAGGCTCTATCAACAAAATAAAATACAAAAAAGGCCATGGATATAGCTCAGTTCTTGCTTAGCTCCTTGCTATGCCCTGAGTTCAATTTCTAGTACTGAAAACAAACAAAAAGCCTAATTTTTTGATCAGCATCCATATATTTTCCTGTTGTGTCCAGTATCTTACCGTATGACATTTTGTTTTTATAATTATTTAACCTATTAGTTGAAAATTTAATAATCAGCAATAAATGAATGGAAATATACCTATATATGCATCAAGATAAACAATCTGACAATTTTTGTTTCTTCTGCAGAGGATCAAAGGGGTACTGTTTTGTTCCAAGTCAATTTCCTATGGAAGTAGTATACATAATATTATTTTATGTGAAAACATAACTGACATATGAATATGATAAAGGTAAAGAAGATTATGGTTAACAGACTTTAAATAGAAGATCAAAATTATAGATTTCATTAGTAGGACTATTTTCTTTTAAATAGGCTGTAGGCAATCTGCACATATATTATTTATTTAAAACGTAAGATTAAAGCTACTTGATTGTTTAGACACTATCATTTGTAAAGCAGTTTGATGAGAGTTTTGTAGTATAATTATTACAGCATGACAATCATGGAGAAAATACGACCTTGAAAAGGGACAAGGCCTTCTCCTACTCTCAAAGAGGATGCACTGAATGATAAAGAAACCTTCCAAAACCAACCATCTTTATACACGCAATTAGAAGCCTTTCAATTTAAAAATCATTAGGAGCTTTCTTTTGTTCCCCCAACATACTACATTTTAAGACAATCAGAAGGCCTGGTCTGGTTTCAAACTTTATTGGTAAGGAAGTACTAGTTAAGAGTATTTCCCATTGTTAATCTTAGCAAACTGGTAATATTCTGAGTGGACACATTTTCTGTGAACAATTAGAGAACGTTTTAAAGACAATATGGCTAGTTGTGGAGCTTAAATTGATAATCCCAGAGACTGCAGGAGGGTCACAAGTTCAAGGTCAGCCTCAGCAATTTAGCAAGACCCTAAGTAACTTAGCAATTACCCCCTCTCAAGGGCTGGGGCTGTTACTCAGTGGCAGAGTGCTTGCTTAGCATGTGTGAGGCACAGGGTTTGATCCTTAGCACTGCATAAAATAAACAAATAAAATAAAGGCAATGTGTTCATCTACAACTACAAAAAATTTTTTAAAAATATCCTGTCTCAAAATTAAAAAAAAAAGAAATCTGGGGATGTGGCTCTACACCCTGAGGTTCAATCTTCAGAATCAAAAAAGAAAAAAAAAGGGCAAAGTGTTTTAGAATTTTGAAGAAGGTGTGGTAGGGAAAAAAGTAGCAACACTTTTGCTCCTGTCCAAAAATACTCTTTCATTTTGTGTTTAATTACCAGTCTGTGCCAGTTAGACAAGGCACACTGAGTACATAAAACTCAGGGAAGCCAGGAAGAAATCTCAGTGTAGGCAAAGTCTACTTGTGGCATAGAAGAACTTTCTACGCAGTTCTGGCACTGATTATGGGATAAACTGACCACAGACTGGCATTTGTGGCCCAATCACTGGATGATGATTTACAGGGGCACAGGCTGCCAAAGCACAAAGCCTAGTTGTCCATGTATCATCTGATTTCAAATGTCCTGTATGTGGAGCAAGCCTGCTCTCACCATCACTGTTTAACCAAGGAGAAAGGCAGTGTTTCCCTCTTTTCATGCTCCATATTAGTAGTAATATGAATAACATAACACCCTTCCCAATTCCATTTAATGAACATGCCCCAAAACTGCCATGCCAAACTTGTTTTAAGAATTTACTATGGTCTTCAGACTGGCTCAAAAATTGCTCTTTTATTTTTCATTTATAATTGATATTTGGGATTGATGCAATTACATACAAATCAATATCATGCATATTTAAAAACAACTTCAACAGTGAACTGTATTATCTAAAACGATTCTTTTAATATTTCAAAGAAAAAGATCTCTGTAAAAGCAAAATTTCTAATAAAACATATGTCTACTTAAATAGGCCCCTTCCCATAAGTCTCTTGAAGGTAAAATAAGGTTTTAAACTAAGAGGTAAAATAAGGGATGGTTTTAAAAAAGAGGGAGGATTTTAATACCAAACATTTGTTTACTAGTTTCCAAAATAAGATGAACGATTGTCCAAGATGCACCTTTCTTAGGGAGGAAGAAAACAGCACTATTCTACTCACTACTCACATGCAAAGAGCTCCACTGAACTAGTCTTTAAAGTTTATAGGTAGTGGTTGGGGGGGGGCTAGGAGTATAGCTTAGTTGGTAGAGTGCTTGCCTAGCATGCACAAGGTCCTGGGTTCAATTCCCAGCACCACCAAAAAGTGGTATATAAAGTGTAGGTAGTGGCAAAACAAAATAAATAAATAAAACTATACACATGGGAACTCTGAAGGTTTTTCCTGCTGTGTATTTGGACATACGGATGGAAACTGGAAACTCTGAGTTCTATCAGCATCCCTTTTCAACTAAGAACCTTAACTATGCCACCTACCCAAAGTCTTTTCAAGCAGCTACTTAACACTGCTCAGCCCAAAGGTACCACCCAAACTCTGGGGGTGGGGTAGGCGGGGCAGGTTTTTCAGGTCTCTGGGATGTGTTATTCCATTCTCTCTTTGTTCCTAAGACATGGAAAAGACTCATGGTCTCCCGGTTGAGAGGCTCCTGAAACGTTCCGTCACCTCCTCCTTCCTCATACACAGGGAAGTCAGACAAGGACCGGGATTTCTCGCCCCAAGGAGAGTCATCTGCGCCTGGGACACACGTGCCTAATATTGGTCGCACCTTGGAAATCCTTCCCGCCAAGAAGACAGGCCGGTCTTTTCGCAAAATGGTTTGAGATCCTTCAATAAAACCTGAAACCCACTACTTGCGGAGCAAAGCGGATAGGTGGGGTGGGCGGGCATTATCGTCAGGACTAATGCCGCTGATGTACCTATGCCACCTAATGCATTGCTCATCTATGAATTTTCCATTAAGTGCACAATTCGCTTCTGCGTCCGTGAAAAGGTAGCTCAAGGTAAAACAAACCTCACAGACATTTTTGAACGTAACCTCACTTTCAAAGAGTAGCATCAAACAAGGGCCAAAACCGAAAAACACATTTTGCTTAAATTACCCAAAAGCGACCCCTTCGTCCCCAATAAGAAACAACGCGGTTAGTCTCTGAGTTACTTTCACTGAGATCTGAAGATTTTCATTAAAGGGAAAAGTGAACAAGTGGAAGGGTTTCTGCAAAGTCTACCCCCAGCTTCCGCCACTGCACTATCGACGGTCCCTCCAGCTTGCGCGCTCTCGCGCGCTCCCAAGCCAGCCCCACGTTACTTTGATTGACAGTTCGGCCCCGCCGCGCTCCTTCCCACCGACCTTCCAATCCTTCGTGCCAATCTCCGGGTCTCGCCGCTTCCCATTGGCTGGTTTTGGCGTCCCGCGGCTCCTCCAGGAACAGTTCCTCACCGAGCCCGGGAGGACGCGGCTGGCGGAGAAGGGGCGGGGGGAGGGTGGGAGGGGAGACGGGGGAGACGGCGGAGATGGAAGCGAGGGGGGCGGGTAGGAGAGGAGGGGGAGGGGGAACGGGCCGTCCGGCACGGCGCAGCCATAGGCTCCGGCGAGGCGCTACGTCAGTGCCCCACGTTGGGCACGGTGCACTGGATTGGCTGACGCGGGCCTCCGCTCCCCCCGGCTCCAGCTCGGCCCCCGGCCCCCGCCGGCTCTGTGCTTGCGGCCCCCGCCCGCGCGGGGCTGGGCGGGGCCGGCGCTGGTTAGCTCGGGAGTGTGAAACCGCGTGTTAATGTAACCGGCGTGAGAGGCGCGGGCAGCGGTGGCGGTGGGAGCGGCGGCTGCAGGAGCAGCAGGAGCGGCGGGTACCCGGTGCCCAGCGTCCCCGAGGCAGCCGACTGCTCCACCCCCACCCTCCTACAGCCGGGCAGGACCTGCGCCACTAACCTGGCCCTCCGCAGTCCCGCGGCGACCGAATCCTCTTTGGCTGCGCTGCTGTGACAACTCGGGACTCGCCCTAGGAGTTTGCCCGCTGGGGAGGGAGACCAAGCGGCAGAGCGCACTCTTGCTCTTCTCTCCACCATTTCGCGGATGTCTTCCCCTGGGTCTTGAGAGAACTTTGCTGCAGGCTGGAGAGCCCTTTGCAGAGAGTGAGAAAAAGGGAAGAAAAGAAAAAGACCCAGGAAGAAGAGGCGCTGACGAAGGGTACTGAGCGGCTGTACGGCCGGGACAAGTGCGCGCAGGGCACTGCGCCCTAATGCGCCCCGGGCTCAAGGAACAGCGGGTGGTTGCGGGATTCCTCCACGAGGAGTAGCCCTGTGGGTCCAGGAGCGTTTGTGCAACCGCGGAGAACACCGAGTGCCGGTCGCACGGGGCGTGCCGAGCTGCCTCCCGGCGCGCCCTCCGCACTTTCCTCGCTTCGTCATCTCTCGTTCCCCATTCGGGGCTGAGGCTCTGGACCACCGGGTGAGGATCCTCAGCTTCGATCCCGACCTTGCAGTTTGCAGAAGGCAGTGAGCGCCTGGCCAAAGACGCCGCCGGGACCCGAGGAGTTGCCCCGGAACGCCGCCGGGTTTGTTTGTGTGTGGGTTAGCTGGGGGTGCCGCGTCACCTGCACCTCGCCTACTGCCACCGCTGTCGCGGGGAAAACCCGGGGAGGAGGCTGATCAGAAGAGCAAAGCAAAACAGCCCGCCTGGATTTGTGTGCCCGGGACGGGCGCCCGGCACGCGGATCTCGGAGAGGAGTGCCGCCGGAGTCACCGCGACCCCACCTCCTCGTTTGGGCGGCCGAGGGCCGCGGGTTGGAACGCAACCCCTGCGCTCTTTCCCTGTGCGCCAGAGACGCCGCGCAGATTTTCGGAGCAGCCCGCACCTGGGCGCCCCACAATGTGGCCCTGAGGGCGGAATCCCATAGGCAGGAGCTGCCGCCGGCACCGAGAGGCCACAGAGTGCGCCCCGGTGCGTGGCCAGCGCGCCCGCTTCTGCCTGGCCTCCTGGCTTAATTTTCCTCGGCGGGATTAAAGTTGGAAATTGAGCGGAGAATTGAGTTGTCCGGGAACCGAGCCGCGGCAGCCGCCAGAGCGATGTTCCCGCAGAGCCGGCACCCGGTGAGCCAAGGGCGGGTGGTTGGGTGGGGGGCTTGAGCGAGGGTTGGGGAAGGGCTTTCCCTGTGCGGTAAGGGACGAGTGGCTACTGCAACCTGGCAGGCTCCTTCGCCCCCAGCGGTGCCAGGGTGAGCGGGTCTTGGGCTCGCCCACCCTAGGGCAGGGAGTGAAGTGAAACTCAATCCCCCCCTTTCCTTCTGGGCCCCCTCCTATTTGACGTCTAGACAGGGCGGACGAGGGCGCCCGGGGAGGCTGGGGTTTCTTTCCTGGAGCCACATCCTTCCCATTTTCCCGAGGCGTGTGGGGCGCCCCCCCTTTGTTTCTTGTCTCCCTTATTTACATGTCAATGTAGCCCCCGTTCTGGTGCGCCCAGTGGTGGCCCTGGCGACTCTGGGAATGGGGAACGTTAGGCTGCTGTTTTTCTCCTCCGGTCCCCGGGGTCATTATCACCCTCATGGGGGAGGGGGCGGCGACGACGACTCCTCGATCTGGCTTAGTCCTCTCCAGTCTCGGGGCAGCTCCCTTTCCCGGGTCTGGTTGACCTAGGCACAAGGCGCGATCCGCCCTGGAGGATGGAGGAGATTCTGTTCTGAGCCTTTTTAGAAGCTGAGGGCAGGAGGAAGGGCCACTTTCTCTCCAAAGTGAATCGTAAAGTTGAGTTTGGGGCTCGTTTTTTCACCACTTAACTTTATTTTTGTTTATGCCTTATCCGATTTCTCCCTCTCCTGACTTTCTGCTTTATCCATCCGCCCGCATTCTGGTGCCTCGGTGCCCCTCGCTGGTCGCCCCCAGACGCCTCATCAGGCTGCAGGCCAGCCCTTCAAGTTTACTATCCCGGAGTCCTTGGACCGGATTAAGGAGGAATTCCAGTTCCTGCAGGCGCAGTATCACAGGTGCGTGTCCATCCGCCTCACGCGAGTGGTCGGTCGCCCAGGCTGCCCGGTGCCCCTCATCTCCCATTCTACTGGCGGCGGCGCCTGTACTTAGTACTGGCGTCCAGGCGGTGGCGTGTGGAGTCGCAGTTAAGACCTGTCATTCATGTTACCCCCTTCAGTGTCTCTTCTCGGGCCGCCTCTTTTCTCTTGTCTCCTCCTCCTCCCATTGTTTCCCTTTTGCCCGTTTGCTGCTGTTCCAGGGAGTCCTTTTTCGTGTATTTAGGAGTTGCATGAGAACCGTCAATATTTGCACTTCATTTATTTATTTTGCAACAGGCTGAGCTGAAACATTGGTTCAATCGATGCCTCAGCTCTGGAGTGCGGGTTCATGGAAGCAAAGCCATGTTGAAATCGCTGTTTGCCATGCTAGGAAATTGGGTTGTCTGAGACAAAGTCCATTAGGGAAGGCTAGATGCTTTTAGCTACGCCCATCACTGGTGATGATGAGGGAAGAGATGGATATCAAGTAGGGGAAAGCACACCTGCATTGGCCTCATTCTGGGTTGTTTTGAGTGGGACAAGAGAGAGGAGTCACATTTATATTAATGTCAGCCTTAGTTACTTGTAATGATACCTACCGTCAAAGGATTTATAAATGAAACTATTGGTAAAGTATTCTGCCCATGGTGAATTTTCCAGAAAGGTTAGTTCATTTCCTTTGATCCTATGAGGTTTTGGCTCATTGGAGCTAAGAAATAGCTATATTGACATTTTTACTTTTGTAGTGCTTGAGAAAAAGCACACAGATAAGCTAAGTGGCTTGGGTGTGAATTTTCTTATTTTGTCAGGGGCTTTCTGATTATTGACCTTTTGTCTACTTGTAGATACTATCTCCAGAGCTTGAGGCATACTTGCACATACCATGTTTACCTAACAGGGAGAACTTCAACCCACTTCATTGCAGTAGCTGCTTGACATATTTTGGCAGGGATTTAAAAATCAAAGGTTTTGAAAGGGAGCAGCCATAGTAGAAGTAATTTTACAGATAAGGTTTTCAAACCTAGAGACTGTTTAAATTGGCAAGATGGTACAGACTATGCTGAAGTCTGAAAAGTGTTGCAAAGGCCAGATTTTGGTGTAGTCTAGAGAAATGAACTTCGCAAGGAAGTAAGGAACAGATAACCATGAGGAGAAATCTGTTTTGATGGACTTTTCATTCTTGGCATCGGACCAGGTATGCATCAAGAAGAAAAAAAACTGTAGTTGAAAGGGATACCCTGTACTGTTAACCTTATTCTCTGTTAAATGCAAGGACAAAGCTTTCAGGTGTTTACCTAGATAGTTTATGGTTTTTCCAAATTGGTCTTTGTTTTTACTTGAAGTGCAAATATGTGAGGCAGATGTTAAAACAAGTGACATAATGTTTACATTAAGTTGCCTGTTTTGTTTTCATAGCCTTAAATTGGAATGTGAGAAACTGGCAAGTGAAAAAACAGAAATGCAGAGGCACTATGTGATGGTAGGTATAAAAAATTGGACTTTTTTCCTTTTCATATAAGTATCATTAAGTATATATTCTTAGCATTATAAAAGCATGAGTTAATGAAATACCGGGTTCTTTTTTTTTTTTTCTTTACAGTATTATGAAATGTCATATGGACTAAACATTGAAATGCATAAGCAGGTAAGCTTTAATTGAATCTCAAGCCGAAATGAGAAATTTCTTCATGATTTTGTAACACTGACTTTGTCCTCAGCCCTGGGGTTGTTGGGTGGGCGTTTGTGTGTCATTTTTTCTTTCCTCTTAGTGTCCTGTATCTTCCTGCGAATTGGTAATGGTAGTATTCTGCAGCAAGGATTGCTTCTTGACAATTACCTTGATTTTAAATGACAATTACCTTGATTTTAAAGGTGGGAGGTGCTTTGGAAATGTAAAGTAGCCTGTTTACAGACAGATAAGAACTGAGACTCCAGAGTTTCCTGGGGTTTCTCTCACAGAATTGCTGAAATTTCGAGTAGTGTTTGTACTGTTTGGGAAGAAAGTGTGGACCTGTGTGGGGAAGAAGAATGGTTAGGAGGTTTTCTTAATCAGATTTAACAAGGTATGTGACTAACTGGAGTACTCCTTATGCTTTGGGGTTACACAGAGTGACCCTGAGGATTGGTGACTTATCAGCAGACATCTCTTTGAGAAATTCCTCAGTTGATGCAGGTTTGGAAGTGAAAAAAGCATCCTTTTATGGCCACAGCATATGTTGAGAGTTACTTCAGTCCTAGTGGTTTTAAAAGCATGAAAAGATTAGTGACTGGAAAGCTCTAGCTATGACTATGAGTTTGCAAGTTCCCATAAAATTCACACTTATGGCTACTATAATGGTGTATAAAAAGAGTATTGAGCTGGAACAAGGCACTAAGGACCTCATAAGAGAAGAAAAGCTAAATGATTGCTCAGCCCAGAGGACTCTCAATTGAGTAGTCATTGTCTGCCAAAGAAAGCATTAATGGCAGGGTGTAAGTATTCTGGAGATATGCTGACATTCACTTTTTCATCAAGACACTGGTACAATAAGTCTTTTAGAAATCGATTGCCTCTTAAAAAATTATCATCAGATGAAGTTGCACAGTTGGACACATTTCAAAGTGCAACAATACAATTCTTACTTGATGTATATGTGCTATTTCATCTCAAACCCTTGTTTCATTAAATTAAAGAGCATGGCTGACCGGCTGGGGCACAGTGGAGAAATTGATTAGTTCAGCTTTCAGATCTTCCTTATATTCAAAGACTTTCATTAAGCAAGTGTGTTTCAGAGTTGAATTCTGCTTTTGTAACTGTGCTCTTTGATTTTTAATTCATCACAGATTTCATAATGTTAAGTTATCATGTACATTAGATCTATTTTCAGATATGTGTTTGGAAAGTGATAGCTTAGTTCAAGGCCTCTCATTAATAATGTAATTGGGCTTTTAAAATAGTGCTGATTTTACTCTGATTTGCAAAGTTAGTAGCCTAGCTTGTATTGGGATTGTGCCTTTGTTTTTGTATTGTTTCAGTGGCTAGTGCCTTATTGAGACAATTATGCCTTGTTGATAGTAAATAAACCAGAAGATCTATGGCTCATGTCTATGGTCATTTAAATTAATTATGCAGATAAACCTTGCCTATGCATCCTAATTTGCTACTTCAACCTCCAGTACTAGGACATGATACTTTATCACTGAGCTATATCCCCAGCCCTGTTTATATTTGTTTTTATTTAAGTTGCTAAGGCAGGCCTTGAACTTGTGATCTTCCTGCCTCAGTTTGCTGGGATTACAGGTGTGTGCTACTATGCCCAGCTACTTTTTTTTTTTTTTTTAAGATGTCCTCAAGGGTACATTTTTTAAGGGCAGGGTCGGGGGGTACAGATATTCTTTAAGTGTAAGAGGAAACTTGAGTTTTTGTTTTTTTTTTTAAACCCATAAACTTGAAGGATTTAATAACCTCATCGACTCTTTTACAAGGGAACACCACCCTTGTGTGATGTTGTATGCTGGTGCTGGGTTTATTGGGAAAGATAAAAGAGGTGTAATTCTTGTGGGTTCCTATAGGTTACATGACAGGGTGACCTTTTTGTCATGTTAGGGGGAAGGGGGAGAGAGAGTGTCAGAAACCTCATGTGTGAAAATAGTTTTCTAGTGAGTTTCTGTACTGTGTTGGGCATTTATGAGTATGTATTGTCCATCTATGAGAATGTGTGCGTTAATAATATGCTGTGTATAACTGGCTCAGTAATTTGAAAAATGTGAAATGCTGAGAGAGACCATGTTCTTCATAGTAGGGTATTAAGCCCCCTGAAATTTAGTTTATATTGTAAATGCTGACAGACCCTTAACTAGAGTGGTGTGCAAAGTAATGCTATAATTCAGTTTAAAGTGGTCTTACATTTGAAAAACATCCTTCTGACTGTCACACATTAATAATAAGTTCTGAGGAGGCATTTGGTGTAGCTAGTAATCATAATTCTTATTAAAACTGGTGACGTCTGGCCCCCAGGGTGCAGCCAGGCTCAAATTGATGCTTTTCGCCGCCTGATCACCAGCATGGCCTAAGTGCTCATTATATTGTAGAGAGGGCCTTTGGAGCTCTCATTAGATTTGACAGGAATTCTCTCTAGGGGGAAACTGGGCATTAGCAAAGACTCCTGACAGGCTGAAATTATTCCTGCTTTATGGCTTATAACCAAATGCTAGCAAGGCATCATCAGGGGACACAAAAAAATTGTCATTTCTGACAACATCTTTGTTACTGGGGGAAAAAAAAATGCAGTGATGGGGAAACTTTCCATGTAGAGAGCTTTAATGCAGTTAAGATTTGTCTGCAGTGTGACGACTGCTCTGCTTCCTACCTTTTCAACTGGCTTGTCGGAAGGAGTAAGTTTTAGAGTTCAATGTCAAATCTCACTACCAGCTTCTCTGGCTGGAAGTTTTAAAGTGGAAGCACTGGCCAAATCAAGAGTGGTATAATTGTGGTTTCCTTACTTGGTGTGGTGCTCCCAGTCTGTTTGTGTCGTGTCAACACTTCCTGATAAGGCTTCCTCTTACTTTCTCTGCTCCCATTTGTGGTTCCTTACTGAAAAGGCAGCAGAGCCAGCATGGGAATAGATACTTGAGTCTTTTATTGTAGCATTAAGACAATTTTTTCCTCCTTAGAGCTTTTTAATAGGTCCCTGTCTGTCCATTTCTAAACATGTAGATGTTGGATTTTAGCTTTTTTGTTTGTTTGGTGGTGCTGGGGATTTTATCCACGGCCTCATGCTAGGCAAGCACACATCCCCAGCTTAGCTCTTATCTATTTCTAAACAAAAGAGAGGTGGAGACTTGAAAATTTGAAGGAATTCTGAGATCATCAGAGTATTATAAGTACATTGAAAAATAGGAAGCCCGTGTGAGTCTGGTTGTTTTCAAGGGCAATGCCGCAGTGTGTATGACAGCCTGATCTTTGATTTTCTTTGTTCCATGTCTTGGTATTATCTTGTTTGATATTTTGGGGAACAAAATATACTGTAAATTTCATACATAATCCTTATTTATCCCAATAGTGTATCTTTTTTGTGTGCTGATAAAGCCAGGTTATGAATTGTCACTAGTGACATCAGTTTTACAGATTTTAATAGTGATTTGGTCTCATGACCTCCATAGGCATCCCTTAAAGTAGTTTGTATAGGTATTTTGTTTTGCCTGAAGCTGTGAGCACATGTTCATGACTGGGGCTTGCTTAAGGCCCAGCGTCTGCTGACGCTTTAGCTGGGGTTGCCTGGTTTTAGGTAACTAGTGCTGTTCCCTCCCCACCCTCACCCCCACCCCAGGTGCCCTTGGGAAGATGAGGCCAGTAGTAGAATTGCCATTGGACCTGTATGTTGTGACCCACATCTACCTCTTTTTGTGCTGGTTCTTTTTACTTTTTTTTTTTTTTTTTTTTTTTTTGGTGTTGGGCGTTATTGGGGATTGAACCCCTGGGTGCTTTACCACTGAGATTTTTATGTTGAGATAGTGCCTTGTTATGTTGCTGAGGCTGACCTCAAACTTGTGATTCTCCTCCCAAGTCTCTGGATTACAAGCATGAACCACTGTGCCCAGCTTCAACTTCATGATTTACAGGACATATCAGGGATGGGCATATGTTCTAAAAGTTAGGAAAACCAGCAGTGCTAGTTTTCTATGATTTCAGATCTGTGGGTGTCACAAACCATGGTATGTAGAAAGTTGTATCTGACTGAATAATACTGTCTTCTGGTTAAAATACATTTAAGAACAGAAGAACCAATACATTTCTGAGTGAATCAGAACTTCAATGTGTGCTGTAAAATTTCTCTTAGAAAAATAATTGCTTTTTAGTGAGGTTTTTTTTTTTTGGAAAGTATTTCTGTGGGATTATGTAAGGGATTCCCCTGAGGGTTAATTTCTCAATGTAGCATTTACTGTTTGTTCTAAGTTTTACTTTCTTTTATGTTTGTATGGAGGGCGAGGGCACTGTGGTAGAACCCAGGCGTGTTCTACCTTCCAGCTATATTCTCTGTCTTTTTTATTTTGAGACAGAGTCTTGCTAAATTGCTGAGGCTGGTCTTTTTATTTGTAATCCTGGCTCAGCCTCCAGAGTAAATGGGATTATAGTCATGTGTCACTGTTCCAATTACTGCCCTGTCTCCCACCCACCCTACTATGGATTAAACTCAGGGGTACCCCCAGCCCTATTTTGTATCTTATTTAGAGACAGGGTCTCACTGAGTTACTTAGCACCTCGCTTTTGCTGAAGCTGGCTTTGAACTCGCAATCTTTCTGCCTCAGCCTCCCAAGCAGCTGGAATTATAGGCGTGCCTGGCCCTGTTTTTTAATTAGTTTTAATTTCTGTTTCTCACTTTGAGGTGTTTTGTTTTGTTTTGTTTGGTGCTGGGGATGGAACCACCCAGGCCTCCTTGCACATACCAGCTGTACATTCTGCCTTAAACTTCACCCCAGCCCTGTGATCTACCGCCCCCAGTCAAAATCTCAGACTAGCTGAAGTATAACCACTTAGAATTAAGCTCCACCAGGTGTTAAGCACCTTGTAATATGAAGAGGGTAACTGTCATCAAGATTAGAATGATCCCAACTTCATTTTCATTAGCTAGGCCTGCCCTTTACAAGCATAAGTTCAAAGAGAGA